CCTGCCGTTTTTTTTTTTTTTTTTTGGTGGCCCAGGGGTGGAGCGGTGGGACTGAACTCAGGAGCTACACAACCAGGCCTTTTAGAATTTTTTCAGATACTAAGACAGAGTATCCCTAAGTCACAAAGTTGTCCAGGCTAGGTCTGAACTGCAATCCTCCTGCCTTAGCCTCCCAGAGGCTGGAGCTGTACATGTACAGCACATGTGGCTACCCCCGACAGTACATACATAACTCTGCCCTCCCACTGACTTCTTGCAGTCGTCAGTTTTCCATGAAGGATGGAGTGCAAAGGAAGGGTGCAGAATAATCACACTCCGCATCAATCCGTGCCACTGCTCATGCTGAACTGTTTCCTAGTTTTCATTGCCACAAACAGCAACAATGACGACCCCTCCCTCAGGCCAAGGACTGAAACTTGTTTTCGCCAGCCCTTTCGAGCTTTATCTTACTACAGGGTCTTGCTGAGTTGCTCAGGAAGGACTCACATCTGGATCCTCCTGCCTCAGCCTCCCTAAGTGCAGGTGTGTGCCACTGCCGCCACCCATTCTCAGGTTCTTGATGCCAACCTGCTTCCCAGCAATGGCACCTCCAGGATTCCATCAGCACAGCGGTGTCCGCCTCACCACAGCCTCCCACCACTCCATATTCTTACTAAAAATAAAACCCTTGTGATTTGTAATGGAAAAATGCTGCACTTTGGTGCCTTTGGTTACTACGATTATTGCTATTTTGAGGTTCAAACCCAAAAAGGGGGGAAAATACAGAGAGTGTTTGTAGAGGCGCCACCTCACTGACATACATCCCCAGCCTTTTGCACCCTCACATACTCTCCTTAGGTTGCCCAGGTGGGACCTGTCTCAGCCTCCCAAGTGCTGGGATCACAGGCATCAGCTGCTGACTGATCTGCCTGAACCTCACTCTCAGAAGAATGATGAGGGACAGAGCAGAAGTGTGTGCAGGTGCTGGCCTAGGGCTTTCCCCACGCTCCACTACCCCGCTTCTCCAGGGTGTACTCTTGCTGTGTCTTCTCTTTCTTCTTGTTTCTTCTCTTTCATTCGGCCCAAGCTGGCTCTGCAGGGCCAGTTTCTCTCTCATGCTTCACTAACTTTTTTCAAATAAACTCTGCCACTGCTTTAAAAAAACAGGTGGGGATGTAGCTCACTACAAGACCCCAACGTTCAATCCCCAGAATTGCAGGGAAAAAAACAAAGGACAAATTGCCTTACACTGCCTCAAAAGATTTTTCATTTGCAGTTCAGCACGGTGGTGCTCACCTCTGCATTCCCAGCACTCCAGAGGCAGAGGCAGGAGAGTCAATGCAAGTTCAAGGCCAGCTTGAACAACAATGTAAGCACCTGTCTTTCAAAAAAAAAAGGAACAGGGGTTTAGCTCAGTGGTTCCGCTGCCTTGCCTCGCAAGCACAAGGTCCCAAGAGTTCAATCCCTGGTACCAAAAAATCAACTCCCCAGGGGATCACGTAGCTGTGCTCTGGGTTGGACAATGGCTTGTGCATTTTGTGGTTGGTCCTGTTTTTTTTTTTTTTTTTGAGAGAGAGGGTCTTGCTGTGTAGCCCAGGCTGGTCTTGAACTCACGACAATACTCTTGCCTCAGCCTCCCAAGTGCCAAGATTACAGGTGTGCGCCACCAAGCCCAGTGCTCGGTCCTGCTTTTAGGGCACCCAATGGAATTGTCATCGATGTCCTTCACGCAGGAGCCTTAGTAGACTTCTCATGACCAGGCCTGACGCCCACCTTTAATCAACAAGGGAAACAGCACGGGCTTCGGCCTTAATAGTAGCTACTCAGACAGTGGCCTGTATGGATCACATGCCCCGGTGGTGATCTACATTTGGAGCTTCATCTTCTGCTTAGTCCTCTGGAACCTAGGTGCAGTGACACAGGCCGGTAAGGCCAGCACTTGGGAGGCTGATGCAGGAGGATCACGGGCTTGAGCCCAGCCTGTACTACACAGTAAGACACTATTGGGCTGGGACAGTCAGTAAGGAGGTTTTGCTTAACAGATGCATTCAGGCCAGCAAAGGAAGCAATAGTGCGACGAGACTCTCACCATGGAGCACCTGAGCCCACAGATCGAGGTGCTGACAAAATCACAAGAGCATGACAACCATAGGATGGGGCAGCAAGGGCCACCTGAGGAAAGCCCCCAGCTAGAACAGCCTTGCCAAATTTTGAGGAAAAAATGTAAGAAGTCCACATCAGTAGGTGGAGATGCACACCTGCAGTCCCACATGCTCAGGACAGTTACACAGGAGGATTCCAAGTTTGAGGCTAGCCTGAGCAACTCAGCAACTCTGTCTCAAAATGAAATATGGAGGGCTGGGCTGCAACTCAGGGGCAGAGAGCTTGTCTGGCAAGTGTGAGGCGCTGGGCCCCCCTGCAACAACACACAGGCTGGCACGTACACTGGCATAAGGAAAACAGACAAGGGAGTTGTACTACAGGTAAAAATGTGGCGATGCAGTCAGCAGACCCTAGACTCTTGGACAGTCCACTAACCACAGGACAGTTGACTCCAAAAACGGGTGCAGTGGACAAAACTGTAACTTTGGGAGGCTGAGCCAGGAGGTTTACAAGTTTGAGCCTAGCCTGGGCAATCTAGTGAGATCCTGTATCAAAATAGCAAATTAAAAAGGACTGGGTATGCAGTGCAGAGGCCCTGCTCCATTCCCAGTACTGAGGGGACCATGGAGGAGCACCTGCAGAGTACAATTTAAGACAAAAAAAGCACATCACTAACACACCTGCATTTGTGCACCTACCTGCATCAGTTCTAAGGAGATGAAGATGGAGCTAGGCTGTGGCATACAGACAGGAAACAGAGCTGCTAAAAGACGTTCCAATTCACCTGATGAGTTCTTCCTACTTTACACATTGTTTTTGTGGTTTTTCTTGTGGTACAAGGGATCAAACTCAGGACTTTGTACTTGCAAAGCAGTGTGGTGCCACTGAGCTAAATCCCCAGCCCTACTTAATATATTTTTATGTTTTTTGGTTTTTTGTACCAGGGATTGAACTTGGGGCCTAGTGCTTGCGAGGCAGGTGGCAGCACCACTGAGCTAAATCCCCAGCACTTTATACATTTAATTTTCCATAACTAAAACCCTAAGCTCACTCCCTTAACAAGACCCCTACTCTGAAATAGCTCCCTCCTCCTGAGCAAGATAGGGGCCGGACGGGCTGGAAGTGGAGCCATCTCTACTTCCTCTGCTCCTAAACCCTGTGTGCTGGCCCAGCTCTCCACCTTTGCAGCGCAGCCTGTCCCTCACAGGACATCTTCTTGGTGCATAGCCAGCAAGGCGCCTGCCCCTTGCCCACCTTGTAGGACTCTTGGGCATGCATGCCAAGCAGCCTCTGCTCAGAGGTGCTGCCACAGGCCTGGGCATAGAAGCCTCTTCCATGGAGAAGTGGGGCCCTGGGCTCCCATCTGGGTGTGGCTGAGGGCTGGCTGGCACCCCCTCTGAACCTGCTTGTGCAGAATTTGTGTGTATGTGTGAATGCCGTTCAGTCCACACAGCCGGCCTATGAAGTGGCAGTAGGGTTCTGGGGTATGGGGCTGGAAGCTACAGTAGGAACCAGCACATCTCACTCCAGGCTGCCTCACCCTCCCACCCGGAAACGCTGCTATCTGTGTGAGCCCTGGAACAGCAGGTTCACATGAAGAAAAGCCTGCTGGCAGCCACGTGCAGGCTGCAAGGAGAGCTCACAAAAGGGGATAGGGCACTGGCGCCCATCTTCAGAGTTCTTGCACACCTGCACCCATACCCGTACGCCACACACACCAGCCTCTACATCACACACTCGAGGGAGCCCCTTTCCTAGGAACCCTCGCTCCCTGCTTCCCCTGGGGCAAAGAACCCAAAAAAGAGACTCCAAGGGCAGCATCTTAGGGGCCCTTCACAGGCTCACTGTCAGCTCAGCAAGGGTGGCCAACCTTATCACAGGGTGCTAGGGGGGCCATCGCCTGGTCAGGCTCCCATGGAGACTGCAGGGGGTCAGGAGGTCAGGGTAGCACAGCTGACCCCGGGGAAAAGGGGCACCAGGTGAGATGACTAAAACAGGAGCGGGATAAGGTGTCACCTTGGTAAGGACAGAAAGGACATGGAACAGAGCAATCCCAAGGCAAATCCACACAGATGGTCTCTCTTGCTAGGGCTGAGAAGCAGCGAGGGCTGGACCCCATGAATAGCTCTGCAGAGCCCAAGGGCCTGGGCACTGTCTCGTGGACAAGGGCAAAGTGCACAAGGTTTTAAGAGAGGGTATACTGAGTCACAAAGTTTCCCAGGCTAGGCTCAAATGAGATCATCCTGTCTCAGCCTCCCAGAATGTTAGGATTACAGGTATATGCCACCACATCCAGCAAGTCAAGGGACTGAAAACAGAGGAATTGGGGAAAAGGAGTTAAAAATGGAAAAGAAGGTAGGTAGAGAAAGAAAGAAAAGGAGGAAGAGTGATCACTATAAATGGAAAAAGCAGAGAGGGCCAGGAGGAAAATCTGACTGATTCTCTGACTTTATAATGGCAAGGACCCAAGGATGGGCCAGGGGAGAGGTAGACACTGGGAAGAGGGATTCACCGAGGGAGCCACAGCTGCAGGGCCACGGGCCTGTGGCACTCAGGCCGGGTGTCTGCTCACATGGGCCCCAGGACACTAAGCCCACCACCACTGAACACCCAGGCCTTCCCTCTCTCGCTGGATGGCTTCCTGCCAAAAGCCACCGCCTGGCCACCGTGGTGCTGGCTACCTAGGGTCCCCACAGGAGGCTGTGCCCAAGTGCCGGTGTATACTTACATTCCCACCTCCAGGGACATGCTTAATATTGTCCTTGGAACCACACTTGGACTGAATATGGCTGTAGCTCACTTTTTTGGAGACTATCTGGACCTGGAATGTTAGAGAACAGAAAAACAACACAAAGGGAAATGGCTGGTTAGAGGTGACACGGGGTAGGCAGGGAGGCCGCATGTGATCACAGTGACAGAGGGAACCCTCTGTCCCCACCTGTGGCAGAACAAGTGTGGGAAGGGTGTGGAAGGAACAAGGCAGAGAACGAACACACAAACAAATAACGCGACAACACAGCAGGGGCTGCGAGGTTCTCACTGCACTGTGTAGCTGGACAAGCCTTGGACAGCAGCTGGCCCCGGGTCCCCACCGGCCCATCCCACAGGTCAGGCACAGGCTTGTCAGCTCTCTGTGAGGACAAGACTGACCCTCAGTTGGGGTGGGAGCCGAGGCAGCCAGATGCTCAGCGAAGCTGATGCGACGGGAAGGAAGAGAAGCTTGTGCATAGGAAAACGCAAATGGGTATAGAAGCTGGACAGCAAGGGAGCGCCCACACCCGGCCCATTTGTCTCAGGGCTCAAGAAAGAGAATAGAGGTTTAGAGTTAGATGTATTATATTGTTTTTGAGACAGGGTCTCACTCTACAGTTTAAACGGGCTGGCTGTGAACTTGCAACGATCCTTATGCTTCTGCCTCCCAAGTGCTGGCATTACAGCTATGACGCCACACCAAATCCATATTATTTCTGTGGTACAGGGCTTTGAGCCCAGGGCTCTGCATTGAACTATGTTCCCAGACCTTTTATTTTTATTTCAGACAGTGTCTTGATTAGTTGCCAGGCTGGCCTCAGATTTATGATCTATCCTCCTGCCTCAGCCTCCTAAGTAGTTGGGATACAGGCATATGTCACCTGCCTAGAGAGAACTAATTTCTGATTGGAAGATCCAACATCCCTTCCTTCTAGAACTTTCCAAATGTCTAGTCCTACATCCTGTGAGTTCCGTGTGCCGGGAACAGCTGCAGGCAGGGCTGCAAGGTGTGCCACCCTGAGAACAATCACGTTGTGCCGTTCACCAGTGGCTCCAGTACGCCTGGCTCTCAGGTTCTGGAACAGAGTTGCTCCTGGGCCTTCTCAGGAAGAACAGTTGCCAGCTTCCTTCTTTCCTTCATGCTTCACAAACGATGCAGCCTCTGCACAGCAGAGCGCCCCACAAGATACAGAAATCCATCCTGAGAAACTCCAGCCCACAGCCCTTATTCTGTGTCTTGCCACTTCCTGCCTCCTTCCCATTTTCAGTGAGGAGGAATGAGCCCTGCCTGAACTAGGACCCACAGTCCTCTCCAAGTGACCAGAGTTCCTCTGGCTGAGACTTCTCCCCCTGGACCTTAGGGCCGGGCTGTGCCTGGGATGCAGAAGCCTAGGGTTTCTTCCACTCGCCTCTGCTGTATTTCCTGAGTGAGCGGATTTCCACCACGATGACAGGAGTTTGCAGTTAACAGTGACATGGGAACCAGGACAAACAAAGCCACTGACATTAGCAGCAGTTTCGTGAGAGGCATCAGGGCTCCAGGAGCTGCCACGCCTTACCAGGAATGACTCTGGGCATGCCGTATGTCTGCATGTGTACCAGCTGGATTTCAGATCAGCATCAGCGAAGGAAGTGACTACGAGTTCTTGAATCCTATCTATCCATCCATCCGTCTTATCTACGAATGACTGAACCCAGGGCCTCTGCACTCAGCAGTACCCCCAACTCTTTTTATATTTTGGGACAGGGTCTCACTAAGTTGCCCAGGCTAGGCTTGAACTTGCTACAATGCTCCTGCCTCACTCAGCCTCTCAAGTTTTGGGATCACAGGTGTGGGTGTGCACCACCCCACCCAGCTTCAAAATAAAAATTTTTTAAAAAAGGGCTGAGGATATGCCTTATCAATAGAGTGCCCCAGATTTTATCCCTAGTATTCCTCCACCCACAAATAAAAAAGAGCTAATGAGTTTCCAACTCTGCACTTTCTGGGTTTATACAAAACTTTTCTGATGGGTGAGTCATCAGTGGTGGGAACACGGGGAAGAAGTGAAGCTAGTTAGAGACAGTAAAAAAGTAGAATAGAAGGGAAAGTGACTCAGGCTGGAAGAAAAATGTTACCATCTTTTTACCTCCCAGAGGTGAGTCTAAACAAAACTCACTTTCCCAGCAGGCGATTTCTGTGCACTCGCAATGGGGCCAGCTGTTTTAGTGACTGCATTAGGTTCAGGTTTTCCAGCTGTAGTAGCCGCCTCTGTTTTTTTCTCTACTTTGGCCTGGATGGAGATAAAGGGAGGGCACATTTCAAACCAAGAGGATGAAAGAGCCCAAATGCAAGGATGGAAGAAGGCCATAGAGAATGCAAATCCAGCCAGGCCACCAGGCAGAAGCAGGTCCCCCTTGCCTGTAGGAAAAAGCATCCCTTTCCCAGGATAGACCAAGCCAGAGACCCCACCACCACAGGAGTGTGGGGAGCAGAGCCTCAGGCTGAAGTCCTGAGCCATGAAGAAGCAGCTGAGACATCATTCACAGCGAGGTCGGAAGCAAGGCCAAGAAGACCACATTAGTGGTCATAGGGTCAGCATTTCCAAACCAGTGCCCCCCATTCTAAGATGCCGCTAGGCCTCAGATGAGCTGCCCTGGCCACAGGGAGCCATAACAGATGGCAGGAGTGTCACACTTTTTTTTGGTACTGTAGATCGAACTCAGGACCTTGTGCTGGCCACTGAGATACATCCCTGGCCCAGGAGTGTCACACTCTTCACGTGCACTAAAACAGAAAAGAATTCAACCACCAGACCAAGTTACTCAAGACCTCCTTAACTCTGACATTTCGAAAGAATAAGAAAAATAAAGAGCACAAGAGCAGCAGGGAAAAAAAAAAAAAAAGAAAAGACAAGGGGAGCAGGGTCACCAGCAACACAGCTTGGCCTGGCCACAGGGGAAGCCTCTGGGGTGATGGCTGTAGAGCTGAGCAGGGCCTGACACTCACCGTGCAGTCTAAGAACCCAGTGTTCTTTAAGTCTGGTGACTCCGCACAAAAATGTCAACCTAAACTCCAAGGTACAGAGCAAGAGGCCCCAAGACAGGAAGAGCAAACCCAGTCACCCCTTCCCGGCCCCCAGAGAGCCAGGCTGAGGTCTCCAAGGCCACGCTCTGCAGCTGGCAGCCCCTTTGCAGTGGCAGGTGCAGCAGGCAAGAAGTACCATGGATGGGAGCCCCTGACTCACCCGGCCTCCTCCAGGCTGGTGCTTGATGTTCTCCGTGGAGCCCACTTTGGAGCGGACATTCTTCAGATCGGGGGCAGGGGCTGCAGTGGCTGGGCGGCTCAGCTTGGGGGCCGAGGTGCTGGGCTTGGCAGCGGCAGGCTTCTTGTCCAGGGAAGGAGACGCGGAGGGCCGGGAAAGCGGGGTGGGCTTGACTCGAGTCGGGGCCACTGCGGCCGTGGGGGTTGCCCCTGCGAGAGTGGTGGTTTTCTTCACAGAGCTGGTAGGGGTGCTCCTGGAGCGACTCAAGTCAGCTGCAAGGCAGGAGGGAGAGGTAGCAAGGATTGAGAGCGAGAGGAAAAGGGAGCCTTAAAGCACAGAGGCGGGCTTTGATCAAGGCTTCTACGGAAGGGTGGGTGTTACCTGGCACAGACTTCGCCACTGTCTTCTTAGCATCTGCAGGTTTGCCCTCAGTCTTAATAGCTGCACAAACATATTAATACTACAGTCAGCAAATGGACCAAAGGACTAAGATGAGACGAATATATTCATTATGTATCACAAACATGGACTAGTAAAGAATGTAACAAAAATAGGAGAGAGCACTAAAAACCTGAAAAGAGGTCTGGGAATTTAGATCAGTGGTTCCGCCACCTGCCTCAGGACATAAGGTCCTGGGTTCGAACCCCATACCAAAAACAAAACAAAACAAAACAAAACACAACCCCAAAGGGCCCATCTAGGGCCGAGACTCATCGTCCACTCAAATTACTGGATGTCCAGTCTGCGGTGGACTGTGTGAGCCCCCAGAAAACAGCCATGCAGCCCTGAGGTTATGCACAAGGCCAGGAGCTGCACCCCACAGTCCCAACAATGTCTTCCACATGGCCTTAGAAGTAGGTGATCAGTACACACCTAGGGAAGTGCATATCCTATTTTCTTCTCTTCTTTTTTTCTTGCAGTGGAAGGGATTGAACGCAGGGCCTCACATATGTCAGGCAAATGTTCTACCACTGAGCCCTGAATTGTTGGGGGTTTTTTGGTACCAGGGATAGAACTCAAGACCTTGCGCTTGTTAGGCAGCTAGTGGAACCACTGAGCTAAATTCCCAGCCCAGGTCTTGCTTTGTATTTCAGGCTAGCCTTGAACTCACTATGTACTGAATTGCCTTGTCTTTTTGTGGCACTGGGGATTGAAGCCAAGGGCTTCATACTGAGCCTGAGCCACAGCGACAGCCACAGCCACAGCCCTTCTGTTTTGTTTGTTTGTTTGTTTGTTTGTTTTTTGAGACAAGGTCTTGCTGTGTAGTGCAGGTTGGCCTTGAACTCACTATGTAGCCCAGGCTGGGCTCCAACTTGTGGCAATCCTCCTGCCTCAGCCTCGTGAATGCTGGGATTACAGTGTGTGCCACCATGCCCAGAATATTTTTTTTGTTTTGAGACAGGTTCTAAATTGTTAAGTTGCCCAGGCTGGGTCTGAACTTTCAATCCTCCTGCCTCTGCTTTCCAGAGTACTAGAATTACAGGTGTGCACCACCAACCTGGGTCCATTTCTTACCATCATTTAAAACCATGGTCACAATGTACTGAGAACTGCAGAGTTGCTAGGACAGGAACAATACATTCTACCCGGGATTTCACAAGATTCCTCTTTACTCTCAGCTCTTCTCAATATGCAAGGTTACTAAACTCACACAGAGATCAAGGCCAGGTAATTACCCAGGACACCCTGCTCTCCTCCCCATTGCCCCACAGGAAGGAGGGACAGGTAATACTCACCAGCAGGCCTTTTGGACGCCGGCACTGGGGGGCTTCTACTGCTTGGCCCCATGGAGGCAGGAGCAGCAGCTGATGTGACCTTTGGAGTGGCTGAGGTGCTCTTGGGTCCAGGTCTGAGGGCCGGGGCTGAGGCGGGCTTGGACGGCAAGCCCTGCTTCTCAGAAACCTTCGCCTCTGCAATGTGCTGCACATGGGAATGCGGGAGGGGTAAGAGTGGCAGATGAGCAACAGCCCTAAGACGTGGATTTGCACGCGAGACTGGGGCCCTGGGGACATGGCAGATACTGACAGCGTACACAGCTCTCAAAGTAAATCCTCTGGACAACAAAAAACCAGCCATGGAGGGGCTGTGTGATCTGAGGTTAGGAAACAGGAAGCAGACCAGGTTGATGATGTGCAAACAAACAGGCCTGAAAGGGGCATCACAGGCTGCCACATCTGCCTTGGAAACTACTGTTCGCATCTGAACAGTCAGGACAAAACTCACACATCAGCAGATTGCAAACTAACAGTGACGCTCAGCCACTGCCTCCACTCTTGTGGTGGACGTACCCCAGCAGGCACGTAACAGGGCAGGGCTGCTGCAGGTGGCAAGGTCTGAGCTGCAGCCCTAGTCTGGCCTGACTTGCAGTATGGTCTTGGAGAGAGCACTGAACACCTCTGTGCTTAATTTCCTCATGTGGAAACAGAAGATTGGAATAGAGCACCACGAAGGCCACCTTTGATAGTTTATAACCTCAGGGTTAGGAAAGGAAAGCATCAATCTGGCCTGGTGGCTGCAGCGACAGGGGGAAAAGACACTATTCCAATAAGCAAACATTCACATCACTTGAAACAGGAAGCCAAATCACAGACACAGTGGACCTGATCTTTTATTCTAAGAGAAACGCCACCTGGAGGGCAGGGCATTGGTGGAGACAAGTAGGACACTGTTTAAATGGAGTCTGCTGGGGAGGTGCTTAGAAATTACAGGGTATGCTAGGCTTGGTGGCACACACCTATAACCCCAGCTCTCAGAGGCTGAGGCAGAAGGATTGCCATGAGTTTGTGGCCAGCCTGGACTACACAGTGAGTTCAAGTCACACTGAACTACATAGTAGGACCCTGTGTCCAAAAAAAAGGGTAACCAAATGAATAAATAAACAAAAAATGGGCTGGCATCTAACCAAATCAAGAATTGGCTCTGTTACCAGTTCTGACTGTAACGAGTCACAAGACTTTGTGCAGAAGGGTTCCTCTGATGATCTTGAAAATCTGAGGACAAAGCCAGATGCTCTAGAGAATGTTCTTCAAACTTTCAATATGATTATAATTCAGACAAACCGAATGTAGCCTTAGTATTTCACAAGTAAGAGTAATACGATAAGCCAGAAGTGGCACATGCCTGAACCCCAGCACTCTGGAGGCTGAGGCAGGAGAATCACCATGAGATGGAAGCCAGCCTCAGCTACAAAGTGAGACCCTGACTCAAAAAAAAAAGAGTAATGATGATAAAATTAGTAAAAGCTACTTGAGGAGGCTGAGGCAGGTGGGTCACAGTGAGTTTGAGGCTAGCCTAGGCTACATAGCATATTCAAGGCCAGCTTGAATTAATTATGTAATAAGACCCTGCCTCAAAATAAAAACAAAACAAAAAAGTTACCTGAGATTACCTGAGATAGAAATGTCTAAAGGATACAAAATCCTTCAGACACCGGACTCTTGACCTCAGCAAGCTTTAAGTTATTTTGCTTTTTCTCAATTTATATTTTCTCCTCTGCCAGAGATCTATTTATTTTTCAGAACAGTTTCAGAAATCTTTCTACTAAAATAATAGGTAAAAATGATTTTGTTAGACTTCTGTTGCTATCAATTTCTAAAAAAAGTTTCTACTTGTGTCTTATGTAAAAAAGCAAGGCCAGCCAGGCGTGGTGGCAGCACTCGGGAGGCTGAGGCAGGAGGATCGCTGTGAGGTCGAGACCAGCCTGGGCTACATAGTGAGTTCCAGGTCAGTCTCAACTACATGGTGAGACCCTGTCTCAGAAAACCCAAAAAATAAAATAAAATAAAATAAAAAACAAGGCCAGCTACAGCTTGAAATGCCACCTAAAAAGCCACACTGACAAGGGCTGTGGGCTCCCACACATTCCACACTCTGGCTCTGCCACTTATTCAGACTTGAGGAAGGTGACTCAACCGAGTATAACGTTCCTCAATGTAACATGAAGACACCAGCATCTATATCATGAACAGCTGAGAATTAAAGGAGTTAAATATATATAAAGAAACCAAGAGAGCATGCTTCATTACTGATACCTCAATGGAACCTTTCCTCCACCTCGTCCCCAGGAGCCAAATGCTGAATAGGCCTCAGAGGGACCTGTTACCATGGCTCAGTCACCTGTCCTCTACTCTCTCATTCAAATAAATTGTTTCCAAAGATTCAGAGAGGCAGCCAACTTGGTAAATGAGGATCAGAGAGAAAGCATTACAAGATTTTATCACTCCTACTCTATGAAAGCATTTCTTAGTTTCTTGGCTGGGGTTTCAACCTAGACCACAATCCCTCAGTTCTGCCAGTTTTCTTTACCAGATAAAATTAGCCCATGCATGGCAGGCTCCCAGGGGAGGCTCTTGCCCACCATGAATGTGGAGCAACAGCAGGGCGACCTACAGGCCCTTCTTCAATAAAACGAGAGGGTAAGGAGGCAGCTCAGCCTCCACCAATCCTTGGCTGCTAAACAACTCTGTAAAGCTAAAGTGGCTCTCAGCGAGATCATTTTCTGGGTGATAAAGCAAGTGAGGGTGACCCGGGAAGCCAGAGACCTTAGAAACAGCCCTGTGAGAAGTGGCCTCTAACAGCAAGAGCAAAGTAACTTGTCACGTGCTGCTTAGAACATGCCGAGAACAGCGAAGAGCCAGGATAGCACTGACTCAATGCAGAAAATTCCCCTCTGCAGGATTAGACAACAGCAAGTAATTCAATTTGAGGTGGGAATTATACCTAAAAAGAATATCTGATTAGTAAGTGGAGCTGGGGAACCTGGTTAATTGGTACATAAATGGGCAGAGTAAGAAACAGTTCTGAAAAAGGAAGAGGTACCAAAGCAGATGAATATTACTTCTAAATGAAGAAGGGGAAGGTAAAAAGAGTAAAAGGGTTTCAAAGGGCCAGCGCTGTATCCATGGGCCCCCAAACTGATTTTACAACCAACCTACCCCTTCCTCAGTTCTACCAGCCTGAGTCCACCATCTGGCAGCAAGAAGGGCCTGTCTGACGTGCAGAGGGGAAACTGTTGCCTGGCAGGGGACCTGCAGACAACTTACCTTTGGTTTTGCATCTCTCGCAGATAAGGTAGAAGTCCTGGCAGTGGCAGCGGCAGGGCGTTTGGGTGGGGCAGCTGGTACTAAGCCTGAAGCAAGACTCATGGGTTTTTTATTCACCCCAGCAGAGGTGGTGGGAGCTGGCTGCTTAGGGACAGGAGTGAGCTGTGTTTTGGCTTTCGATGTTGAAGTCTTTGCAGGTTGAATGGTGGCCAAAGGCTTTAGGTTGATTGTTGTTTTTTAATATTTAATATTTTTATTTTTCAAAGACCAACATCAAACACACGGACAAAAATAAAAACAAATAAAAAATATAAATTGCACAATTCAAAGTAAAATCATAAATAATGAGGATGATGCAAACTGAAAATTAGCATTTCTTTCTTCTGAGCTCAAGAAACAGGGAAACAATACCAAAATAGAAAGAAAGAAAGTGAAGAGATTTTTTTTTTCTTTTTGGTGCTGGAACTGAACCTAGGGCTTCATGCGTGCTAAGCACACATTCTACCACTGAGATACACCACCAGCTCTGCAGAAATTCTTTAACAACAGTAGCACAAATCTCAACAGTTTGGCATCTAAATATTTAACATCAGTAATAGCATTATAATATTAATTAGCTTTTGGTAGCTATACTAATTTTATAAATAAAATTATCAGAAAATGATTAAACTATTATTACCTGTATTTTTTTGGTACCAAGGATAGAACTTGGGACCTTGTGCTTGCAAGGCAGGCAGTGGAATGAACCACTGAGCTAAATTTCTGACCCTGTCTTTTTTTTTGAGATCGAGTCTTGCTATGTTGCCAAGGCTGGCCTTGAATTCACGGTCTTCCTGCTAGCTGGGATTACAGGCACATGCTATGGCTATCTCCAGTCCTTTTTGTTTTTTTGAGACACGGGGACTGCAGTGAGTTCAAGGCCAGTCTGGGCTACACAGCGAGTTCAAGGCCAGGAAGAACCACGTAGCAAGACCCTGAACACACCAACCCCCAAGACATTTTCTAAGTACATTCACACTTGAGGAAAGACTCATACTGGCTCAGAAAAAAGAAAACATTCAGGATTCATGCAATAGGAGCAGGAGGCACTATTTTTTAAAAATTACAACAACAGGAAAAAAACCACCATTCTGGCACCTACCTTGGTTTTCTTCTCCGGGCTTGGTGGGAGCTCCTTGTTTGGTGGAGTACAGATGTCATTTCCGGTCACACTCACTGCCACCGCCTTTCCTTCTTCTGGCCTGGCTATTCCTAAGGTGGGTGGTAACTCAGAATTATTCAAAGAAAATATTTTTCACATCCATCTTAAGAAAGCTAGGCATTATCAGACAGAGCACTAACTTGCACTTCATTCTGAAATAACGCCACAGGTTTGTGCTGCTGCAGTGTGGACAAGATCCCCGAGCTTTCACTGCGGCAGATGCCATTTTAGATTCCAAAGACTCAGGGAGCTCGTCCCCGTGGAGAGAAGTCTAAATGGGTTTTATACAAATGATAGAGGAGACAATGGAACTTCAAAGTTTGGTTTCCCTTCCCTAGAGACCAGAAAAGAGGTGCTGTCACCCAACCAGTGCACACCAGGGAAAAAATCTCTTCAGTGGAGTCTATCTCTTAGAATAAAGGTTGAGGAGAGATGGGGTAAAAGCCAGAATATCATCCAGTGTCCTCCGTTTCCTTCCGCTCACTGTAAAGAACCGCTTTATGAAGGATGTGAGTGAGATTAACCTGCTCCAGTTCGAGCAGTGACCCAGATTTGCACCAGGGAAGAGCACTTGTGACCAGCCCCACTGCCTCGGGCAGCACCGCTGCCCACCGCCAAACCTGGTAGTGCAGACTTCAGCAGGGCTGCACAGAGAGCACTAAAACCATGGTATTGAGAAGCCTGCTATGGGGAAGGTACAAAAGGTACAAAATCTTGAGCCAAAATAGTTCAATGTAACTAAAAAAGAAACACAAAGTCAAAAGGCAATGACAAGCAGAAAAAAATTTTGAGCTTCCTATCAAAGACAAAGAGCTTATAATATATATTATTCCTACAAATGAGTGACTCTCACAGGGAAAAAATGATCTAAAGAATATCAACATAGTTTATAGGAACAAAAAATAAATAAAAAAGCTCTCTGGGTATAAAAATGCTTTGGCAGCTCTGCGTTTATCCTCTGGGCACTGGATACCACATCCACACCCTCTCTACCTAGGCTTCAGAAGCAGCAGGTGGCTGCAGGCCTCCCCTCAGACTTAGCCCAGACAAGATTTTTGCCCCACTTCAAAATACGGAACAAAACAAAGAGCAAGGAGGTCGCCTCCACTAGCCAGGTGTGACACATGCTGGCAGTCCTAGCACTCTGGGATCCTGTCACAACACAAAGCAAACATTTAAAAGAGAGAACACAGATTAGTATAAAAGCCTTGGGGTTCAATCTCCAGGACCTTAAAAACAAAGGAAAAGAAAAAAGCTCTTTTTAACCCAATATTATTATTAAATGTCCTAAAATTTGAACTGGTACAGCCCTTTGGCAGAGCAGCTCGATCTAATGGCGGCCCTGAAAATTGCATTGCAGAAAAATTTCAATCCAGAAATCCAACTTTTATTTTTAGTACCAAGGTTCGAACTCAGGACCTTACACTTGCGAGGCAGGCACGGTGCCACTGAGCTACATACCCAGTCCTCAGAAATCCAACTTCTAAATTTGGCGTGGTAACAAATATCTGGAATCCCACGACTAGGGAGGCTGAGGCAGGAGGAACACTGCGAATTCAAGGCCAGCATGGACTACATAGTGAAACCCTTCCTCAAGAAAATAAATAAAGAAAAAAGAAAGAAAGAAAAAAAGAGAAATCTAACTTCTAGAAGTTCATTTTAGAGATATATTTCACACAATGGCACATATGAAAGATTTTACATCAGGTAATTATCTTGAAAAGTGAAGCACTGAATCAACCTTTCAAAGTTTCTTAACAGGAAACAGAAATATTAACGTAATTGTGTGTGGAGGCATATGCCTATAATTCCAGTTATTTGGGAGGCTGAGGCAGGAAGATCCCAAGTTTGAAGCCAGGATGGACAACTTAGTAAGATTCTGACTCAGAATAAAATAAACAGGGCTGCCAGGCGTGGCAGCTCACGCCTGCAATCCCAGAACTTGGAAGCAGAGAGGCAGGAGGATCACCATGAGTTCAAGGCCTGCCAAGCTACATAATGAGTTCAGTGCAAGTCTGAACTATAAAGTGAGACCCTGTCTCAAAAAACCAATAAATAAATAAAATAAAATAAACAGGGCTGGACCTGAGTTCAATCCCCAGCACTGCACACAAAGAACCCAGGCACATTAGTATAACGTCTCATTCTGAAAGAAAAAAAAGTATGAAAAGACTCCTTTATTACTGATGTAGAATGACCTTTATCAAGTGAAAAATAACTAAAAAGGGCACTCATAATAGTATACATAACATGAGACCATTTGTCCAAAAAGGGATAGGGAAATTATACTACTGTAAATACCACTGTATATACATAATGGTAACCTAATTTCTTTTTAGGTGGGGGGAGGGACGATACCAAAACTGAAGAAGTCAGGAGGCTTAAAACTTTTTGTTTAGAGAAATGTAAGAGATTCTGAGGAAGTTGCATAAACAGCAGAGGGAGGACTCTCCCCAAGTCAACCACTGCAGAACCAGAGCAAACTATCAACATCGGCGAAATTGGTACAACCTTTAGTTTATTCAGACTTCTCCAGGCTTAAACTCATTCATTCGTGTGCACTTCTATTCTATTTCATATGTCATTTCATATTACCTCTTCCATCACCAGAGCACTCAGTCCTGTTGCCCAACCCTTCCCAATCCCCTCTCTGAACCCTTGCCTTACTCCAGCCTGAGGTGGGAAGCATGGAGTCTTGGGACACCAAGTACGAAATGAAGCGTGCTGTCAGCTTGCCTGGAAGAGCCAAGGCCTCACTGCTACCCAGACCACTCGGAACCCAGGCTGAGGCACCAAGCCTGCTGCTGCAGCTGTCCTATGGGTGTCGAGGAAGTCTTGCTCCATGTCCTCTGATGAGAGCTTTCTCGTGAATGGGTGTTGCATTATTGAATGCTTTTCTATGTTTATGATTTTCCTTTTTTACACTGCACACATGGTGGGTTATTCTTGTTATTTTAATTATTGAATCAATCTTGTATATTTGGAATAAGTCTCATTTGGCTATATATACAACTTTTTCATTTATTGCTCAGCATGATTTGGTAACATTTTTTGTTAGAATTCTTCCATCTAAGTTTATAATAGTTATTAGTTTTAAATTTTCTACTTTTTAAAATATTGTTTTGTCTGGTTCTTGTACAAAGATACTGACCTCATAGAGTTAGGAAGAACTGTTCCTTCATTAACATTTTATGAAAGAGTGTATGTAAAACTGGTGTTAACTACTCTTTAAAGGTACAGTAAATTCCCCAGCAAAACAATCTGGACTAAGGATTTTTTTCTGGGATCGTCCTTTCCTTTCTCTTCTCTCTTCTTTCCCTCCCTCCCTCCTTCTCTTTTCTTTTCTTTCTTACTGTAGTATAGCGATTGAACAGAGGGCTTCATGCTAAGCAAAAGCTTTATCACTGTAACCTCGGCCTCCTTTTTTATTTTTGAGACAGTTGTGTTCAGGATGGTTAAAACAGTTCTCAGGGGGACATGGTGGCACACATCTGTAATCCCAGAATTAAAGGAGCTGAGGCAGGAGAACTGCTGTGAGTTCAAGGGCAGCCTGAACTACATGACCAGACCCTGTTTAAAAAAAACAAAATACAAAAAAATTAAATTAAATTAAAATTAAAATACCAAAATATGCCGGGCGTGGTGGCACACACCTGTAATCCCAGCACTTGGGAGGCTGAGGCAGGAGGATCACTGCAGAGTTTGAGACCAGCCTGGGCTACATAGTGAGTTCCAGGTCAGTCTTAACTACATAGTAAGACACTGTCTCTGAAAACCACCCCCGCAAAAAAAAACCCCAAAAAACCCAAAATACAACTGGTGTGAGAAACTGTAAGTGGAAATAAGGACTGAAATGTATAATAGACACTGGAAAATGGGAAGAAAATGTTCAAATGAGAAGGGGAACAAGAGAGGGGGGAGGAGGAGAGGAAAGAAGGGACAAGAGAGAAAAATAAATAGAAGAAAAAATGGAAACAAAGCTTTTGCATATAAGGAGGGGAAGAAAAGTGGAAGGAAGCGGGGAATGGGAAAAAAAGAAGTAAGAGGGACCAGGGATTTAGCTCAGTGGTGCTGCTGCCACCTGCCTGGAAAACTCAGCAAGGCGGTGAGTTTGATCCCTGGTACAAAAATAAAATTAAAGCAGCAGGAGCAAGCTATAACATGTATAGGTACAAATTTCCTATAATGATATCATTATGTATATCTAAAATATATCAATAAATGTTTTGCTTTAAATTAAAAAAAAAATCCAAAACATAATTCTCCTGCCTCAGCCTCCCAAGTGCCTGGATTACAAGCATGCACTACTATAAGGACACAGAGTTGATCATTTTATTTATTTTTTTGTGGAGGATCAAACCCAGGGCTTGCAGATGCTCAGCAAGAGCTCGCCCACTGAGCTACCCACCTGGTCCTTATTATTTTTTGAGACAGGGTCTCATTAAGTTGTTCATGATGGGCTCAAACTCGTGATCTTCATGCCTCAGCCTCTCAAGTAACTGGCAGGCACTGTGCCACTGAGCTAAATCCCCAGCCCTGCTTGTTTAGTTTTTGAGAAAGGGTCACACAGTCTACGGTGGCCTTGAACTCACTGCATAGTTCAGGCTGGACTTGAACTCACAATCCTGCCTCAGCCTCCATGCCCGCTCCACTCCTTCCCATCTAAACAGTATAGGGTACGAAACTGGGTGGCTGAGGATCAAAGATGACAGAATCAGTTCATGAGAAGCTTACAGTTCTCACACGGCTAGAAGGCCACAACGGTATAAGGGGCCTGAGTTCTTAGGACCTGAACTCTCAGAAACCCTTCCTATTTCCACAGAAGAGAAACAAATCTGCCCTATTCCACTTACCCTACTTACTGCCCTACAAAAGCACATTTCTTATTTTCAGAGAGGTAAAGAAGAAGAAATTTCATCAAAATGGACTGAAAGGAAAATAGGAAGAACAGTCCCCAGGAAAAGCGACTCTTTTTTACTAATAAAATGTTATCTTTTTAAATTGACATTAAAAAGCTGTGAATCAAAGTCCTTTGTACTCAGAGTGGACT